TTATACTCTGGGATGGATCCCGTAGCGCGACCAAGATTACCTAAACTTAAGTACACACCTAACCTGTTTCGACTGGTTAATTTATTTAATGAAACTATACTCACACAATATATATCTGATGACACACAACTTATAGACATACATTTACTTATATACTGCACAGCGATAGTAATATCCGAAGAATTGAACTTTAAAATCACAGACAATGCAAGAACTACAAGAACAAGACAAAATACAGAACCAGCATGGCAACAGAGACTAGAAAAAGACATTGAAAAATTAAGAGCAAACATAGGTAGACTCACTCAGTATATTAACGGTTGTAGATCTAATAAACTAGTCAAAAAAGTAGAGGTCATATTTAGGAATAATGCTACGCATACCAGACACGAAAAAAGTAACACAAGACCTGAAGAATTTTTAGACACGTTAAAACAAAAATTAGCACTTAAAGTTCATAGGCTCAAAAGGTATAAAAAAGCACAACAGCGCAAAAAAGATAACGTCAGATTTGCCACAAACGAAAATTTTTTTATAGAAACTTACACAAACCACAAACAGACATAATCGATGAACGTAACACACGTACACCTAACCTACCTACAAAAGAACAACTAGAAGCATATTGGGCGAGTATTTGGGAAGAGCTATCTTAGATAGATCTATAGAAGGGATATCTTGGATAATTGAAGAGGAAGCAAAATGGAGAGATATTGACGAAATGGAATTCGAAGAGGTAACAGAGTTAGACATAACACTCATTACAGCCAGGTTACATAATTGGAAATCACCTGATATAGACAAAATTCATAATTTTTGGTACAAAAAACGTCTCTAACGTCTCTACACAAACCTTTAGCAAGAAATTTAACAGATATAATAACAGGACAACAGAACACTCCCGAATTTATTGCAACAGGAATTACTTATATGCTACCTAAAACAAAAAATTCACCTCAGCCTTCCCAATACCGACCAATTACATGCCTACCCACAATTTACAAAATATTGACATCTGCAATCACAAAGAAAATTCAGTCGCACATTGAACACCACAATATAATAGCAGAAGAACAGAAGGGATGTAGACAGTGCCACATGGGATGTAAAGAACAGCTGATAATTGATTCCACTATTCATAAACACGCCACCTCTAAAAATAGAAATTTACATTGCACCTATATTGATTATAAAAAAAGCGTTTGACAGTGTTCCTCATTCATGGTTATTAAAAATATTAGAAATTTATAGAATAAATCCGAAAATAATCGATTTCTTACGCCGAATAATGTTACAATGGAAAACAACACTACAAATAAATTGTAACCAAAATACTGTCACCACGCGACAAATCTCAATCACAAAAGGCATCTACCAAGGTGACTCCCTGAGCCCACTGTGGTTCTGTCTCGCCCTAAACCCTCTGTCTCATTTGCTGCAGAGCTGCGGGGCCGGATATTGCCTCAAACTTAATACAGACGAAACAACAATATCGCATCTTATATACATGGACGACATCAAATTATATGCAAAAACAGACAAGGATATGAAGAAATTAATAGATATAACAACAGAATTCAGTAGCGATATTAATATGCATTTTGGTTTAGATAAATGTAAAACACTTCACATTGTAAGAGGCAAAGTAAGGCCCGGCGACTATGTGTTAAATGAAACGGAGGCTATTACAGCAATGGAATCGACTGACTTATACAAATATTTAGGGTATGTCCAACTTAAAAGTCTTGACCACGTACGAATTAAAAATTCTCTCACTACGGAATACAAGAGAAGACTTAACGCCGTTTGTAAAACTCAACTTTCAAGTAAACATCTCATCAAAGCCATTAACACATATGCCATCCCCATATTAACGTACTCATTCGGAGTTATAAAATGGTCCAAAACTGATGCAGAACAATTAGAGCGAACTACACGTACAACACTCACGAAACACAATAACCTACACCCTAAATCCGCCATAGAGAGACTAATAATAAAACGAGAACATGGAGGGAGAGGCCTAATGGATATCCGGCACCTATGGCGGAAACAAGTTAGTCGATTAAAATCATTCTTCTATACAAAATCCCATACTAGCAATATTCATAAAGCCATCGTAACGAATGATATTAACTACACTCCACTTAACTTAAGCAATCAGATTGAATCCCAAAACACTACTAGTGATAACCCACAGACACACAAAATTGACGAATGGAAGAAGAAAGTTCTCCACGGTCGGCACCCTCATGACTTAGAGCAATCCCACATAAATAAGTTAGCTTCAAATAAGTGGCTGAAAATAGGCAACTTATTTCCAGAAACAGAAGGATTTATAATAGCTATTCAAGACCAGATCATAAACACAAAAAATTACAGAAAATATATAATCAAAGATCCTACAGTAAATAATGACAAATGTCGCAAATGCCACACACATCCAGAAACCATTCAACACATCACAGGCGAATGCATAACTCTCACACAGACTGACTACACTCACAGACACAATCAGGTGGCCAATGTCATTCATCAAAAACTAGCACTCAAACACGCATTCATTCCAGATGCCAACACTCCGTACTACAATTATACACCAAAACATACTCTAGAAAACACCACACATAAACTTTTTACGACCGCGGCATTCTCAGACGATAGGACAATCCACTATAACCGACCAGATATAATTCTACAAGATAAAATAAATAATATTACTTACCTGATAGACATTGCAGTCCCCAACACACACAACTTGCAGAAGACGATAACTGAAAAAATTTGTAAGTACGCAGAACTTAAAGATGAAGTGACTAGAATCTGGCAACAAGACAAAGTATATGTGGTCCCTATAGTCCTCTCCACAACAGGTGTCATCCCAAATCATCTCCTCCGTAGCTTAAAATTATTACAACTAAAAGAAACTCTATATATTACACTTCAAAAAGCAGCTATATTAAATACATGCAGAATAGTTAGGAAATTCATGCAGACAGAAGAAAACGAAATAGGACCTCATCAAATCACATGAACTACACTACACACCACACGCTGCATTTGCTTTGGCTTCGGCCCGTAAATGTAGTTGAAATCCAGCCTAGAGCTGAGAAGTGAAAACACTTACCGTAAATAATAATAATAATAATAATAATAATAGCCATAGGTATATAGGTATCTGGTTCTGCTTCTCCCTGAACCCTCTCAGTACCTTACTGGAGGGATCCGGGAGAGGATTTCAGCTACGGAAAGGAGGGACAAAAGTGACCCACCTTTTCTATATGGATGACCTTAAGTTATTCGCCTCCAGTCGCTCCCATCTTGTGGAATTGCTAAAAATCACTTGTGAGTTTAGCAGTTCTATTGGAATGGAGCTGGGGACGGATAAGTGTGCGGTCCTCCATGTTGAGAGGGGAAGGGTTGCTAACTCTGAGGGCATAGATTTATCTATGCTCGTCAACTTGAGGACCCTTTCCGAGGCTGAAACATACCGATACCTGGGTATGTCACAGAACATCGGTATCGATGAGGCTGGTGTGAAACAGTCAGTTTGCGACGTGTTTTATGCACGCTTGACCAAAGTGCTTAATAGCCTTTTGTCCGGTGTGAATAAGACACACGCATATAACGGTTGGGTCATGCCTGTCCTTATGTATACCTTTGGCATACTCAGGTGGACTCAGACTGAACTTAACGCCCTGGATAGAAAAGTCCGCACTACCATGACGTCCCATAGGATGCATCATCCGAGATCGTCGGTAATGAGGCTGTACTTGCCGCGAAAGCATGGTGGGCGTGGCTTTCTAAGCGCGCTCACTATGCATAATCGTGAAGTGTGCAGCCTCCGTCATTACTTCCTGGCGAGATCGGATGATCCATTCTATAATGACGTCATTTCTAGTGATAAAGGGCTTACCCCTCTATCCTTGGCCAACGAGCAATGGCAGGACCCAGCAGTGCTTAGCATTTCCGACCGGGAGACCGTATGGAAGGAGAAGGAGCTCCACGGGAGGTACTACAGGGTTCTACATGAGCCCTTCGTAGATACAGTCGCCTCCCTCAACTGGCTACGTTTCGGTGACCTCTTCGGGGAAACCGAGGGTTTTGTCTGTGCAATACAGGATCAGGTTATTAAGACCAACAACTATCGGAGATACATCCTAAAGGATGGCACCGTCGACGTCTGTCGAGCTTGTCGCCATCCCGGGGAGTCACTTAGACATGTCATCTCCGGTTGTTCGGCGCTTTCTAACTCTGAGTACTTGCACAGGCACAACCTAGTAGCCAGAATTCTACACCAGGCGCTCGCTCTGAAATACGGTCTCGTGGACCGGAAATTGCCGTATTACAAGTACTTGCCGGAAGCCGTGCTCGAAAATGACCGCGCCAGGCTCTACTGGGACCGGGCCATCATCACAGACAGGACTATTCTTGCAAATAAGCCTGATATTGTGCTGATGGACCAGGCACAGTCAAGGATATTTTTGGTCGACATTACCATTCCGTATGACGAGAACCTCGTGAAAGCCGAAACAGATAAGCAAACAAAATATCTGGACCTGGCTCACGAGGTGACCGACATGTGGGGTGGTCTGCCGACCGAAATTATTCCTGTAGTCGTCTCTGCAAACGGGCTAATCCCAGTCAGCCTCTCGGGTCATCTGAGGCGACTGGGACTCCGTGACGGACCGCTCCGGGCTCAAATGCAGAAGGCAGTGGTCCTCGATACCGCCCGCATCGTCCGTCGGTTTCTTTCCCTTTCCCCCTAACCCTCGGCCGTTTGGTCTCCCCTGCCGAGGGCTTCCATCTGGTTGGATCTTTATTTATTTGTGTATTTTTTTTGTATTTATTTTATTTTATTGATATTTATGTATATTTATCTTTTCATTTTAATTTATAATTATATATTTATAGAAACCAACCAGATGAGAAAACTATACAGATACCCCAAAAATAATAATAGTGATCAGAAGAGGCTCTATGAATCATTGGAGCGACCAATGGTAAGTGGAACGGGTCCAGCACCGAATCAGGCCGACACTGTAGCATTCTGGCGCGGCCTGTGGTCAGAGCCCGTAAACCATAGCGAGGGCCCTTGGACGGAAGTTGTGGCGAGTCAGTGTGCGGGTATTACGCTCATGGACCCCGTCATCATAACGCCGGATGACGTAGCTGAGGCGGTCCGTAGGGCCCCGAACTGGAAAAGTCCGGGGCTTGACGGGCTGCATCACTACTGGCTGAAGGGGTTCATGGTGTGATACTCTGTGCTCGCCCGACAGTTTCAAGAGGCTCTCAACCAGAAGTTGCTCCCAAGCCTCTTCACTACTGGGATCACTCATTTGGTTCCTAAAGACCAGGGTACCACAGACCCGAGCAAATACCGCCCCATCACGTGTCTACCGACCATATACAAGACACTAACATCCATTTTGAGCGCGAGAATCACTTGTCACCTGGACTCAAATCAGGTGATGTCGCGCGCTCAAAATGGATGTCGGGGCGGTGGTCGTGGAACCAAGGAACCACTCCTCATTGACGCGGTCATTGGCAAAGTGGTGAAACGCAACCGTCGGAACTTCTCCGCCGCCTGGATAGACTACAGAAAGGCATTCGACTCGGTGCCCCATACATGGCTAAAGAGAGTCCTCGAACTGTACAAGATAGACTGTACAGTTAGAGACTTCCTCGAGCAGTGTATGGGGCAGTGGAGTACGATCCTTTGTCATCTGGGCGAGCGGATGATGGCTGTGGAGAACCACATAAGGATAAGAAGGGGTATCTTCCAGGGCGATTGTCTGAGTCCAATATGGTTCTGCCTCTCTCTGAACCCTCTCAGTACCTTACTGGAGGGCTCCGGGAGGGGATTTCAGCTACGGAAAGGAGGGACAAAAGTGACCCACCTTTTCTATATGGATGACCTCAAGTTATTCGCCTCCAGTCGCTCCCATCTTATGGAATTGCTAAACATCACTTGTGAATTTAGCAATTCCATTGGAATGGAGCTGGGGATGGATAAGTGTGCGGTACTCCATGTTGAAAGGGGAAGGGTTGCTAACTCTGAGGGCGTAGACTTATCTATGCCCGTCAACTTAAGGACCCTTTCCGAGGCTGAAACATACCGATACCTGGGTATGTCACAAAACATCGGTATCGATGAGACTGGTATGAAACAGTCAGTTTGCGACGTGTTTTATGCACGCTTGACCAAAGTGCTTAACAGCCTTTTGTCCGGTGTGAATAAGGCACACGCATATAACGGCTGGGTCATGCCTGTCCTCATGTATACCTTTGGCATACTCAGGTGGACTCAGACTGAACTTAACGCCCTGGATAGAAAAGTCCGCACTACAATGACGTCCCATAGGATGCATCATCCGAGATCGTCGGTAATGAGGCTGTATTTGCCGCGGAAGCATGGTGGTTGTGGCTTCTTGAGCGCGCTCACCATGCATAATCGCGAAGTGTGCAGCCTCCGTGATTACTTCCTGGCGAGATCGGATGATCCATTCTATAAGGACGTCATTTCTTGTGATAAAGGACTTACCCCTCTATCCTTAGCCAACGAGCAATGGCAAGACCCGGCAGTGCAAAGCATTTCCGACCGGGAGACCGTATGGAAGGAGAAGGAGCTCCACGGGAGGTTCTACAAGGCTCTACATGAGCCTTTCGTAGATACAGTAGCCTCCCTCCACTGGCTACGCTTTGGTGATCTCTTCGGGGAGACCGAGGGTTTTGTCTGTGCAATACAGGATCAGGTTATTAAGACCAACAACTATCGGAGATACATCCTAAAGGATGGCACCGTCGACATCTGTCGAGCTTGTCGCCATCCCGGTGAGTCACTTAGGCATGTTATCTCCGGTTGTTCGGCGCTTTCTAACTCTGAGTACTTGCACAGGCACAACCTAGTAGCCAGAATTCTACACCAGGAGCTCGCTCTGAAATACGGTCTCGTGGATCGGAAATTGCCGTATTACAAGTACTTGCCGGAAGCCGTGCTCGAAAATGATCGCACCAGGCTCTATTGGGACCGGGCCATCATCACAGACAGGACTATTCTTGCGAATAAGCCTGATATTGTGCTGATGGACCGGGCACAGTCAAGGATATTTTTGGTCGACATTACCATTCCGTATGACGAGAACCTCGTGAAAGCCAAAACAGACAAGCAAACAAAATATCTGGACCTGGCTCACGAGGTGACCGACATGTGGGGTGGTCTGCCGACCGAAATTATTCCTGTAGTCGTCTCTGCAAACGGGCTAATCCCAGTCAGCCTCTCGGGTCATCTGAGGCGGCTGGGACTACGTGGCGGACCGCTCCAGGTTCAAATGCAGAAGGCGGTGCTCCTCGATACCGCCCGCATCGTCCGCCGGTTTCTTTCCCTTTCCCCCTAACCATCGGCCGTTTGGTCTCCCCTGCCGAGGGCCTCCATCTGGTTGGGCTTTTATTTATTTATGTACTTTTATATTTATTTTATTTTATTGATATTTATGTATATTTATCTTTTCATTTTCATTTATAATTATATATTTATAGCACCCAACCAGATGAGAAAACTATATAGATACCCCAAAATAATAATAACTCACCATGAAACGGCGCGGGTCTGGGCGTCTCCCGTTAAATGACGCCCTGTATGGATGATGGAACACAGAAGATTGCGCAAAAGGGCCGCTGCCTGGAGATCGTCAGGGCGCGTCTGGAGCTGGCGCTGGACGCGACAGCATGCGAACCGCCAGCCGAGCGCGAGGTGCTGCACGACCACCCAGCAGCCCCTCGCATCCATCATCCCCACCAGCTTGCTTGGTGTCGGCAGGGTCTTCGCAGACCCAGCAATCGGCACCCGCCACTGGTGGAGTACGCCGCATGCGATGGACCATCAATATGAATACAAACGCATTGCGGGCGTATTTTAGGGCGAAAGGGGGAGAAATTGGAAGTTTCACGTATCGGGCTAGGATGGATCGTCTTTTTTACTGAGCTGGAACCATCTATTACTGTCACCGAGCAAAACCTGGCAGACCGAGTTCGGTATATCTTACGCTCAAATATATTTGATGGCGCCGAACTCGAACGGCTACGACGTGAGGCTGTTCCCTCATCAAATGAAAACGCTACGACTGGGGGTGCGGTGCCACAAGTTGCAGAACAACCCGCACACGTGGATGCCGCCGAGAATACCCCAGTGGTTGCTGATTCAAATGATGATGGAACATTCACCCAGGAACTAGAAATAGAGCAAATGAGGAGTACATTGGAAGAGGCGATTATGGAAACGCGCAGTACGCCTCTCGAAAATCGACCGCGACTTCCCCGCATAGCCCTAAGCAAGCGGAATCGGGCTGTCGTGAGGGCTCTGAACCCAATACTGGTGACCTATTTGGAAGCCAGCCGGGACCTTTGTGAGACGAACTCAATTCTCTTTGGCGCCGCACTGGCAGTCTGCCGTATTATAGGCGCCAAACTTTCCACGGCTGGACGCACTACTGGACAAAGTAGTGCTATCCCAGCCTGGATAACAAGAATTGAAGAACGTATCGCAAAGGCTAGGGCCCTCATCGGCAGACTGATATGCTTCAGGTCAGGCAATACCAGGCCAAGGATTGTGCGCACCGTCAGGATGGCGTTTGCTGGGACAAATGTTAGTTTGTCCCAGCCGGATATAATGCAAAAACTGACGGAGCGCATAGACGACCTGAAGCAGAGAATCGCTGCTTGGGGAAAGCGAATTCGGCGATATACCGAGAGGTCGATACGGTTCAACCAGAATCGTCTCTTCCAGAGTGATCAGAAGAGGCTTTATAAATCATTGGAGCGACCAATGGTAAGTGGAACGGGCCCAGTACCGAATCAGGCCGACACGGTCGCATTCTGGCGCAGCCTGTGGTCAGAGCCCGTAAACCACAACGAGGGCCCTTGGATGGAAGTTGTGGCGAGTCAGTGTGCGGGTATTACGCCCATGGACCCCGTCACCATAACGCCGGATGACGTAGCTGAGGCGGTCCGTAGGGCCCCAAACTGGAAAAGTCCGGGACTGGACGGGCTGCATCACTACTGGCTGAAGGGGTTCGTGGTGTGTCACACTGTGCTCGCCCGACAGTTTCAAGAGGTTCTCAACCAGAAGTCGCTCCCGAGCCTCTTCACTACTGGGATCACCCATTTGGTTCCTAAAGGCCAGGGTACCACAGAATCGAGCAAATACCGCCCCATCACATGTCTACCTACCATATAAAAAGTAAAAGTAAAAGTAAAATATACTTTATTGTACACCAAGGAACATATTACATTATTTATATATTTAAAGGGACATTGGTACAACAGGCGGCCTTATCGCTAAAACAGCGATCTCTTCCAGGCAACCTTAGGGCAGAGGATACTATTTTAAAAGATAGCGGAAGGGGTGTACAGAATATGATAAAGAAAGATAAATAGAAGAACATAAATGATTAAAAAAGAAAAAAAAATGAATGACGACAGGTAGTAACTTAAGAGGAAAGGTAATAAAGTTTTAATTTATTTTTAAATATAGGAAGAGATTTAGATTTTTTGATATGTAAGGGGAGAGAATTCCATAGTCGTATAGCGGTAACCGTAAAAGAATTAGAATAGAAGGAAGAGGAATGTCTAGGGGTACTTAGAAGGAGATTATTTTGAGATCGTAAACTACTTAAATATATAAATCGGTCTTTCAAATAAGAAGGAAAGGTCGGATTGAACAGAATGCAGTAAAGAAGATGAAGAATGTGAGTATTCCTGCGAAGACGAATCGGGAGCCACTTGAGCTTATGGCGGAATTCGGATATGTGGTCATACTTTCGTAACCCAAATATAAACCTTATGCAATAATTTTGAAGCCGCTCAAGTTTATTAAGTTGCTCGTATGTTAGGTCAAGATAACAAGTGTCCGCGTAGTCAAGGATCGGTAAAAGAAGAGACTGAGCCAGCGCAACTTTAGTAGGAATGGGGAGAACATTGCGTAATCTTCGAAGTGAACCAACTGCGGCAAACATTTTTTTACTTATTTCACTAACTTGCGGTCCCCAAGACAAAGTCTGATCGAACATAATACCTAAATTCTTAACTTTGTCACTGTATGGGATAAGTGTCCCATCGAATATGATTGGCGGGAGCAGCGACAAAGTTAACCGAGAGATTAATTTCGAACTCCCAATAATAATGGCTTGAGTCTTCAATGGATTAAATTTAAGCCCAAATGAATTACACCAATGAGAAATACGAATAAGATCTTCATATA